ATGTACAAATAGAGCGTGCTACTCGTGCAAAGTTGCTTTTGCTAAGGCCTAATAGGGCCATTTATACGAGGAAAAATAAGACGCGTCTTACATAAGAACTGTACCATTTATACGAGCATGTCTTATCTAATAAGACGCGTCTTAGCTAAGCCGCGTCTTATTTTAGACGAAACGTGCTGTTTATACGTATACGGAAAGTTCGCGTCTTATTTAAGACGCGTCTTTTGTAAGACGTGTCTTATTTTTCCTCGTATAAATGGCCCTATTGTTGTTTTTCACCGTTTTCCGGCGTTGCATGCCTTCGCCGCTTAGCATTACACGATTTTATATTTTTTTTGAACAAACTATAATTATTATCAAGAGCTTCGCTTTTAGCCCTTGCTAAATCATTATACATTTTGTACATGGACAATTCCACCCTCACCTCCTCCCCTCCTCAGTCATAAATACACGTATAAATCAACCGCAAAGACGCCACATGTTAGTAAATAGTGGCAGTTCTAATTTTTTTGAGGCAGTCTTCGCAAAGCTTGTACGAATGATTTTATGGGGTTGTCTTGCGGCTCTGCAAGGTGTATTTGCGACTGAGGAATAATTACGGTGAGTACTCGTTTAAACAAATTGTTTTGGATAAAACTTAAACGGTTAAGCATTCTAAGAAGACACCACTTAACATGGCCTTATTTGGTGGCGTTCTCCACGCCACCAAAATAAAAATGAAATAAAGTAAATTAAAATGGGAACTGCGAACTAAAATATCTTCATCTACAGGGGCAATTACAGCAAGTTTTAACCGAGGAGGTGATTGCATACCATCGGTTCATAACGCCGCTAGGGTAAACGCTTCGAAACGCTGTTTATTATCGTGTTGAGAGGTTTCTTTGTTTTGTTTTGTTTGTTTGTTTTTTTGGTTACTCCTCTATATTTCTGTTGTATCACTTATAGTGATTTAATGCTAGGAAAATAAACTTTCTCGGTCCTGCAAGAAAGATTTAAATTTTCCTTGAGGGATAAAATAGCGTTACTGAACATTGAGCTAACTAGATTCATCCCTTTGCACTAATCGCCCCTCCTTTCCACAAATTCTCGGAAGTGTCTTAAAGTGTCAACTGACTATCATTGATAAATGTCACTAGTATATTTCAGAGAAACATTAAAGGGTAATTTGCATGATAGTTTTGGATACTGGGGCGAAGACACAAAATACGCATCATTCTATGATGAAGCGTAAAATAATTACTGAGCGCGAGATGATTTTTGTTACGATAAAGCAAACCCTTTTTGCCCGCCCTGCTATCCTAAGGCGGTGACGCTGGATGTATTTGAGTTTACATGGAGTATTGACTGGATAGACGCGCGTTAGTGTATGTACGAAGATTCTTATTTGAACGCTAACATTTTATCGTAGACACATCCAGTCTGTTCTGATATTACCGCGGGTTATCATTAAGTAGAGGATAAGTAGTAAAGCGCCTCTGACCCTATAACATTAAAAATGTGAAGTCGCTTGTTGATCGACTCTAGCGGAAAACAAATCGAATAAACGATAATATGATCAGTTATGGGCTTTACAAGGGATCTTTATGTCGTACCTTTCTGAAGACTACCGATGAAATCCAGGTAGCTTAATAGACGAATATATGCTTTAAGGAAAGGTTTATGTGGGTGACTTAGCATCTCGGCAGTTACATAATAAATCGAGTGTGTTCTTGGTAGAACTACTACTAAGTCAACGGAAGTTGATTATTACTGCTGCGTTAGCGTTTTGTTGGAAACATAGGGTCTTAATTTGTAAAATGAAAATTTGGATTCTTGGTAAGCATTTCTATGCTGCCTAGTAAATTACATATTCATCACTTGCTTTCGCGAAGCTGGTGTTTACACGAACATTAGTAGCTTCCTGTACACTAGTGTGCATTGTACACGTGCACCGTCTGGATTCCTACTCTTTGGTTCGTTTAAAAACGAGTGTAACTCTCAAAACAAAGCATACAATCCTAAGCCTTACCAAGCGCAAATCTAGCCTCAGTTACATTCCCATTCCTCTTCTTTTTTTTTTTTCTTTGCCGTCCTGTCCAACATTTTAAGGAATGCGACAGTAGTGTAATTAGAAAGATGTCATTTTGAGATTTCCTAGAAAACGAAAAATAAAAGTGGGTTTATGTTACACGAGGGGGGGGAGGGGGCAAGCTTCTTTTCGTGACGCCGTGATGTGGGTCCGTGATCGACCATTTTTGGTGTCCGTGAATCGTGATGTACCGAAAAACTCACTGTTCTGTGAACCGTGATTGAAGTGCACTCTGCGAAACCTTAACTGCCAAAATCCTCAATTATTTACACGTACATTGAAGATCAATCGAAGATAATAAATCGTTAATTTGGCCAAACGACCTTAACTAGCATCTGGTGGTTTGATTCAACTTCTCTTTCGAGTCTTTTTATTGTAACTTTACTCTTCAGTGCGCTCAGACCCACTAATAGCCGGCTTCCCGAGGGAATTTATAGCCGCGCAGCGTTTTTTGTGAGGTTCGTAAAACTCTAGTTAACTTGCAGATTGTGGTTTGTGTGGGTGTCTAGGTAGTATCGTATATCAACGAGCTTGGTCACGTCTATTTATTCCGTCTATTTAGAAGAGACAATTGTAGGGAGACAGGAGTGGGATCGCTGAGTTGATGATGGTTTAAGATGAATCGGCAGTGTTCTCCAAATCGTTCATTAAGTTCATATATTGGCGTTTAGTCTCTCCGATGTATCATGTTCCTTAACTGAACATAATTATATGTGTGATGTATGTCTAATGAACCACAATGACGCCATCTAATCAGGCAGTGAAGGGCTGCCCCCCCGCCCCTTCCCCACGCCGCTCCCTTTGCAAAATTGGTTGCACGCAATTGCACTTCACCGTTTAATATAAGTAATAACTCGCGTGTTCAAGATTAGGGATTTTTAGGTAAGTTCTGGTAAGTCGAAGAACTCATTCCAAACAACTTTTACAAAATTCTCTGCACCATTTTTTTTTCCCAAGAAGAACATAATGCGAAGGTCTGGTTTCATTGTTGTCATGCTATACTAAAAATGAGTCCCATAAGACCATAATATAACGATATGCTGCAGCAATTTCAATAAATTTCGGAATGGTCACGGTGAAAACAGCAACCGAGACCACTGTGCGTGGATACCATCGCGTATGTCTGATATATAGAACGATAGAACGCTCACTGAGTCTTATTATGGTTGTTAACAGTTTCGTTCGTTTTCCATTATATAATTTTAAGTGTAATTAATTACCGCAGGACAAGAAACAAACTTTCTCGGTCTTACAAGAACGAGTTCTTGTGCTCTTGGTATAGGAGCACTTCTGAAATGACTGGATCCTTGGAAAACATTTTTCAATTAAGTAAAGTGGTAAAGGTCGTTTTGTCATCTTGTTTACATCAACGGTCATCAACAAGATCAGTTTATGTTACATTTACATTTCCTTTTGGTTCGTTTAAAGACGAAGCGGACTTTGAAAAAAAAAAAATTGTCATAGCCATAGGCTTACGGGCCGGGGGGGAGGGGGGTCGAGGAGGGCTGCAGTCCCCCCAAATTTTGGGCAACTCAGATTTTTTGGGCAGCAAGAGAAAATTTGGGCAAAGCTAGTTCTTAAAGACGTTTCCACGTTTTGTTTAATTATTTTGAAGAGATAAATATATATTTTTTATTTTAACCTGATGTCGTAATCCAGTCACATTTACACGACACAGTAGTTACCTAGCACGTGATGAGTTTATGGTTATCGAGGGAAGGGTATCATGTTGATTTACATAATTATTTGTAGTTTTTTATTGTTTGGCACTGTACTGCGCATGCACTGCACTAGTTGAGATGGGCTATTTCTAGTCGTGAATTGATCAGAATAAACTTCCGCATAACTTTCTAGAATCATCTCCGCTCGTAGAACAGTGTATGGCAGATAGCATCATCAGCAATGGGCCTGAAAATGAAGAAGTGGCTGACTAATTCTCAGTTTGAATTACAATTTTTTGAAAAAAAAATATGGAACGGTTTAAAAATTATTCACTTATCTGTTGAAAGTAGACCAAAATGTTAACAAAACCGTTAACAAGAGCGCTTTGATACATACTAATTAAATCCTTCTTTCTAGCAATCGGCCGGTCCTATCTCCATGATCTTTCACACACGTTTTCAAAAAGATTGAAGCTACTAAGAGGTGAAATTGCATGTCAAAAGCGCTTCGTTTTCTACAGATAACTCCCAAACATCAAGGTTTTCCTTTTTTACCGTATTTTAACGATAAAACTTTATCCCAAAATATCGAGAACGCTCTTACAGATTCCGTTTTAACTTCACGAACATCGAAGCGACTATTAGAGGAAAAAGCTCCCGTGAACGATTTTGTAAGAACAGTTCCCAGCGAGAAATGTTCCTGCAAGTGAAATAGGTAATGGCTTCATTTTCTTAATTTAATACAACTGTGGTGGCAATTTTTCCAAATGTTTGGGTTTATGCAGACGTAGTTGGGAGGTATTGACCCTGAAAAACTGTATCGAGCCACCTTCATATGCCAGTAGGGCCTATATTGTTGCATCGTATGGCCCTCGTTTCTTTTCGACTGTTTCGCAAAAATTTGGCGTTACTGAACCTGCTGAACCCAACTGTTCTTCCGACTAACCTGCGGAACTGCAGAGGCCCGGAAATTCTTAGTTAATACCGTTAATCGGATGACGCTATTATTGAAAAATGTCAGTTTAGATTTCCGGGAGAAGATGTTACTAAGAGAAGGAACGCCAAAGGGGAATTAGGTGAAGAGGGAACGTAAAAAATTAATTCTGGCCGCGTCACAGATCGTTCGTGTCCTCGATCTAAAGCTTCCTAATGGGGATTGTTGTTTTGATTTGCTTTGTCAGTCCCACGTGGGACACCCACATAAGAAAGGCTATAATTGGAGGAGTCACCATCGTACCGTGAACTTTGCGCACATCACGGAAGCAGACATCGGATTGGCTAAATATAGGGAAATGAATGTGGTTCGGTTCTCAGTCGCCGCTTGTGGCAAGGAGCATTGCGTGACGACACAAAAAGGAGACCAACGTAAAATGCCTCGTGGAGATTATTTGGTCCTCTGGTATTGCTAGAGTTCTGCAGTGAAAGGAATTGTTACAATTTGCGTATTTGTTGTAGAGGAGTTTTTGGCCCCTGTTAAGAGCACGATTTGCTACGGTAAGTACATTTACTTGTTCAAACAAAATCGTTCACTTATTTTAACTTTTTACGCGAAAAACATGGGCAGCCTAATAAGCTCAAATGCATACTAGTTTTTGGTACTCGAGCGAAAAAACAAAATAGGCATCATTCTATCAGGGCGGTGACGCTGGACGTATTTGAGTTTGCAGGAATTTTTGCCGACTGGACGGAAGCGCGTTAGTATATGTAAAAAGATTCTTATTAGAAATGTGAAGTCGGTTGTTGATCGACTCCAGCGAAAACAGATCGAATAAACGATTATGAACAGTTATGGCTTTAAGTTGTACCTTTCTGAAGCTTACCGCTGAAATCCGCCTAGCTTAATTGAAGAATCTCTGCTTTACGGAAATGTTTATGCGGGAGACTGAACATCTCAGCAGTTACATAGTAAATCGAGTGTGTTCTTGGTAGAACTACTTATAAGTCAACTGAATTTCTTAAAGTTGATTATAACCGCTGTGTTGGCGTTTTGTTCGAAGGAACAACAAGACATCGCGCTCTAGTTCAAAAAATCCTGCAAACCACACTATAGAGCTGGGCCCAGAGTCATACTGACATGGCAGGAAATAATCACATTCACGGACAAAGAAACTTGCATGCATGCATGTAGTTATTCAGATACAGCCATTTCGGAGAAAACCAAAAAACTAAAATCTTTATTCAGCCGTAATAAACAGAGGTCAAAGGATATAAAACACTTAACAACTGCATCTGAAATCAAATCCTGTTTTGTTCACCCAGTACAGAAGCATAAACCACAGAAATGATTACACATATGGTTCTTACCTCTAAATATAACACTTAGTGCTGCAAAACAAGAAAAAAGTTTAGGTTCTTGGAAGACATTTAACTAGAGAAAAAAAAAGAGAACCACTGTTCAAGTGGATTACATATTCATCATGAGTCGCCATCGAAAATTTGGGTTCTTGGAAGACATTTCTATGTATTTATATATTCATCACATAGTAGCATCTTGTACACCAGTATGTACAGTACGTCTGGATTGATAATCTTTGGTTCGTTTAAAGACGAGGGTAACTAAAAACAGAGTATATTATTCTAGCCTTACCAAGCGCAGCAAATCTAGCAATACTGAATAAAATTGAAGAATCATTCGTAGGTCGTGGGACCCTAGAAAGTCAATTGAACTTATGGACTTCACACAAGTAAAATAAAAGTGTGTGTATACTCGTACATATGCTATTCTGAAGCCACAGCTTTCTCTCAAATGCTCTAAACTCTTGTTCCAAGCTATTTTCAGTGCTGGTAAAGCTTGACAAGTGCATTTTGAGCAGGGTCATGGAATTCTATGTGATATGTTTGGTTATCCTACCGAGTAACTTCAGCCATTTCGAATAATATATTCTATGGGGCCTTTCTGATCATATTCCCAAAAATCTTAGATGCTGTAAAAAGGTGTACGAAAACGTGAGATTTTCTGCTACTTTTTTCCGTTACCATACAATTTGAAACCGAACATTTTAGGGGTCCTTTCTTGAGAATAACAGCCAGTCCTGGGGAGTGAACTGTGGAAAACCCAAATTCCAGAAATCGCAACGAAGTTCATGTAAAAAATCGAGAAAATCCGAGATGAGTGAGTCGTCATCTACAAATTTTAAGTCTTTGTCGAGCCGTATAGAAATTTCTGCCCCTGAAATAAACCAAGGTGCAGTGCTTAAACACTCTTGTCCTGAAAACCTAAACATTGCTCAGATAGAAATGGAAAAAATTGAAAAAAACGATAAACAGTTGTGTATTCATAACTCAGCTGCCACTAAAAATGACACTTATTTGGAGTCAGTCAAATTTCTATACAGAGACAACTTCACCCTCACACCCCCCTCCCCCCCCCCCTTCCCCTCTGATTATAAATGTACCTTTTCAGCCATTTCGAGAAAGGTTGTCGGAAAAAATGTGCCGCGACAATCCAGAAAGGTAATATCGGATATGCTCAATACACTGTTCCTGACACTGTGGCTGTCGAACCTACTATTTGTTACTTTCCCTTAGCACTCGCGAACATGTGTCCTTGGCCTCTCCTGCCATTCGCTCTAATTTGCTTGAAAAACAGTGAACTCAAAACCACCCAAAATACCTTCCGGGGTTGTCGAGTGCACTTTATCCGACAACCTTTCTTGAAATAAAATACGTACCTGTAAATCAACTCCAAAGACACCACAAGTGCATGATTAAACAGTGACAGTTGTAATTTAGGGATGCACTCTTCGCAAAGCTTGTACGGATAATTAAATTGGGTGATCTTTCAGTTCTGCAGCGGTATGCAGTGATATTTGTTGTATAAAGCGACTGAGGAATAGTTACGGTGAGTACTCCGGGTTTAACAAAACAAACACTTTGCATCAAACAAACGGTGTTCATCTAAGCATTGTAAGAAGAAACCGCTTAACATTAGGGACATTATCCTCAGTTACGGGTAAAATTTCTTGGAATCTTCTATGTGTGTTTATGATTATACCGCCCTGTACTTATCTGCAAAGGTCGTGTAAATTTGAATACGTGATAGCATGATTTGTATTGATATTTGGCATAAATACCACGAGTGATATTTCGAAATTGTTATACGTAATTTCACGAGCCGTTAGGCGAATGAAATTTGAGACAATTTTGAAATATCACAAGTGGTATTCATGCCAAATATCACGTTCAAATCACGCTATTAATTGTTTATACTACTACCCTTAGAAGGTTTGTAATTTTCACATGTAGGTATTTCAAATTAAGCTAAAATACCGCTGCTCTAAGCCAATCAAATTGCACAAATTTCTCATGTAGTAGTATGACAACATTTATCATTTCCTCTTGAAATCAGGTTGTATTGTGTCAAAATTTCCATTTAACAGTCAGTGTTTCATTTAGAGTCAAAGTGACTCGGAAAAGAAAAGGTATTACCCTAGCGTTATCGAGCACTGAGCTAGCTAAATTCAACTCTCTGTCCCCCTTCCAAAACTGCTCGGAAGTGGCAACGATGTCACTTTGACATTTCGGAGAAACCGTATCGCTGGAACATTTTACCAATCCTCAACACAGAGGTCACAACTGTCACTAAGAACCTTTTGAGTTACTTTTATCCGTAACTGTTTACGAGGAGAATTTCTCTTACAATAATATCTGGCGAAACGACTTGTCTACCCCGGACAGAACGATATTATGCTAATATTGCATTCAGGAAAACATGGTTGCACTTAATATAAACAGTGCACAAGGCTAAGCCTGTAGTGACATCATAAAGGGTAAATCAAAAGGCCCCAGTCTAAATACGGTGGGACGAGGGAAGACAGAAAAACGGCTTCTAAGCTTTCATAAACTAAGTCTTTTCAGGATGGCAGCTCGTGTTGACGGCGTTGAAAGGGAAACACAAGAATGGGTGAGCCAGACCTGATAATTAGCACAATACAATAGTGTCTGACCTTTATTTCGTCTGAAACTAATTTATGGCGTTGTAGTGCAAACTATGTACCTCTCGGGGGGGTACTCCTGGGAATTCTTGGTGGGGGTGTGCCGCCCGGTTCTTCCAATCCTGACCCGATTTCAGACCAAGACATCTAATTTTCCAGACCGTTTTTAGACTTGACCTTTAAAATCCATACCCGCTTTCAGACCTGACTTTGAGGCAGAAATTATGTTATCCTTACTTAGATTAGAGCGCAAACCAAAAAATTATTCAAATCTATTTCGAATTCACATATTTATCTTTCTTTCTTACTCGTTTGAAATTTAAACGTTAAACGCGTTCATATACTCCGTAGTTCGCTCGAAAACCATATCCGGTTCCAGACGAAAAGTGCAAAGTGTATACCTGTTTTCAGACCAAAACGGCGCAAAAACGCTACCCGATGGGGCGGCACATGCCTATATGGCTTCTATAAGGGAGTATCCCCCCCGGGTATGTACCATGAACATTGGACGAAATGCAGTTAAGAAAACGCCATGTGTGGGTTGAGGTTGTTGTTGGTTTTCTCCCTTGCTCCGAGAGGGTTTCCTCCGGGTACTCCGGTTTTCCCCTCTCCTCAAAAAACAACACTTTCAAATTCCAATTCGATCTGGAACGCACGGACACGTTTAAACGAGTTCATATGAACTCTTAAGTGCCTCGTGGGTAAAAAAGCAATTTTTTTTTCAACGAAGTATTTACTAACATCAGTACGACCAGCCTATTACGAAAGTTCGAAATTTTAATCGCTGTCTTTGAATTTTATGGATAACTTGAATAAGTGAAAAGACCAAAGAGTCACGGTAACCAAATTTAATGAAGAATTATTAGCACGAAAGACGAATAGCTAGAAAATCACAGTGAGTGAAAAATGGCTTTGTGTATTAACTGCGGGAGACAAGAGGAGCTGCAAACCTAACCTGCAGGTTGCCACTAAGAATAAATGGAATGCATAAAACGCAATCTGATCACGCGCGTTTCATTTACGTTTGTACCTTTCTATCACTTGAACCTGCTGATAACACACGTTTTGACTTTCCATCACGTGAAACTGCGCAAAGCAACAGTGTTGGAACAAGAGCCGTTTTGACTTTCGATCGGAAGACTGAAACTGTAACCTTTTGTTAAGGCTAGTCAAAAACACTCGAATTCTGAATGGCAGAAGCCAACTGCCGTTTGCGTTTATCGCTGCCGTCAATCATCTTAGCGGACCTCTTAGGTAACAGTGGTAGTCTTTACACTAGAGCCTAAGTGAGCTAAGAAATATTTCAAGACAAGTAAATTTTAATTACTTCAAGTAAAATAAAGCTTCAGGGACAACCGATTATTTTTTTACTTCAGGGTCGCGTTTGATTGGGAAATCCGGATTTCGGAATTGCAATCCCCTTATCGAACGCGAAATCCGATAACGGATTTCACCTCCGAGAAATCCGTTCCAATTAAGAAATCCAAATCCGGATTTCATGGATTTTCTTTTTACCGTTCGATTGGGAAATCCGAAAAAGGATTTGCAAAATTGTTCTTGTGTACAGCGGTCTTCTTTTGCTAATTATGCGTGCGCTTGCAAGACCGCTGTTCTTAAAGACAGTTTTTCAAATCCTTTTGCTGCTTTCCCAATCGAACGGTAAAAATGAAAATCCCAAAACAGATATCTCAGCGTTGAAATCCGTTTTCGGATTTCGCGTTCGATTGCAGATCCGAAATCCGGATTTAAAAATCTAAATCCAGATTTTCGAATCGAACGCACCCCAGGTTAACTTAAAGCTATTTTCCAACGAAACATAACTAAGATTGATTGACATGTTTCGCGTTTCTCAAAGCTCAAGAAACAGCGAGTAAGCTAAGTCGGTCATAAGGACGGTTTTCAAGTCACTTGAAACTTTCTTAAATAGTTTCAACGTTCCGACTTTAATGAGATGGAAAGTAAAGTTACTTGAGATTTTACTTAGGCCTTCACACACGAATTTCAACTCCTAAGTCTTACTTAACAGCCTAGTGTAAAGACAACCAATATATACTGTACATTTCTTTATGTGTTACCAACAAAATTGGTACAGTACTTAGCCTAACCCAGTTAAATTGCTACACTGGGTTGGTTTCGCTTACCCCCTGCTCACTCCCTTACTGATCAAACATGTATGTTGTATGTCCAATTAACCGCAATGATGTCATTTACTCAGACAGTGAGAGCTCAAGTTACCTTTGCAAAATAATTTACACGCAATTGCAGTTCGCCGTTTAATAGAAATAATAACTCGCGTCTTTAAGATTAAGGATTTTTGGGTAAGTTCTGGTAAGTCGTAGAACTCGTTCAAAACAATTTTTCGAAAATTCTCTGTACCATTTTTTTTTTCTCAAGAAAGCAACATAATGCGAAGGTCAGGTTTTAGTGTTGTCATGCTATACTAAAAATTTCGATAGATTTTCGAATGGTCTCGGTGAAAACAACATGCGCAACCTACACCACTGTGCGGGGATACCATCGCGTATGTCTGATAGAATGCTTACATAAACTCCCAATTTTTTCTAAATGTTTTCACTGCGTGTCTTTTTATGGTTGTTGACAGTTTCGTTCGTACATAAGTGGCTACTATAAGTTCAATATCAAGATCGGTTACTTAAACATTAACAGCGTAGTTAAAAAAATCGATGAGGTCAAAGAGTTGCTAAATAGAAATATGTTTGATATTCTGTTTCTAGCCGAAACAAAGATCAACAGTACTGTCTCATCGCACTTGGTTTCACACCCAGGATTTGGCACTATTCGCAAAGATCGTAAGAAGGGGGCTGGAGGTCTGCTTGCCTATATCAGGAATGACCTCTCGGCGTATCGACGCTTAAAACTAGAAAGTAGCGATATTGAATCCATTTGTTTGGATGTCAAGGACTCTAATAACAGTCGCTTTATAGTGTATGCTTGTTATAGAGGTCCAACTAAGTGCAAGGAATCTGATTTTTTCGCCTCCCTATCAACAGCTACCGAAAATATGTATAATACCAGAAAGGAGCTGCTTTTATTCGGAGACTTCAATATGGACATGCATGAGAATAGACATGAAAGCCGTTTTCCTGACACAGGGCTGGTTGACCTTTGTAATCGATTCTGTCTCTCAAACCGAATCGATAATCCGACAAGAGTAACTAAAACATCTAAAAGTCTCATCGATGTTTATTTAACTAGTCACGCGGAATGTTATGCTACAAGTGGTTCTTTATACCTTGGACTGAGCGATCACGACTTAATCTTTACAGTGCGAAAAAATAAGAATTCAAGGCCAAAGCCGCGCTTGATCGAGTTTAGGAGTATGAAGAATTTTAACTTGCCTGACTTTTTGACTGACTTAAAAAGGGTCCCATGGTCTTCGGCCTACACATTCGACAATGCCGATGACGTATGGGCTCATTGGCGAACACTTTTCAAAGATGTTCTTGACCAGCACTTGCCCCTAAAGAAAAAGTGGATTCGGGGCGACCAGTTGCCATGGATATCACCTGATTTGCTGCGTGAAATTTTGCACCGAAACAAATTATTCAAGCGCCACAAGCGGAATTTTACATCTACTTCTTGGGATGACTATAAGCGGCAACGTAAGAAGGTTACGTCGCTAAAGCGCAACGCCTTGAAAAGGTTCTGCTGTGACGCTTCCTTGAGTGCTAGACATCCGGGCGAATTTTGGAGAAAAATGAAGCCCCTTTTGCCAACTAGTTCTGGTAAAAACATACAAGGCGTCATCCTCGTTGAGGGCAGTAGTGTTGTTTCCGACCCTGGGTGTGTGGCCAAAGTCTTTAGTGATTACTTTGCCAATATTATTCAGTTAGAGCATAGATCTGACACTGACTACACTGACCATCCTAGTATCAAGGCGATAAGCAATCTACGTTTCTCAAGTGAGTTTAATTACTCCCCAGTCAGTACTTCATATATCCGTAACATCTTAGACCACCTTAATCCGAGAAAGGCAGTTGGGGTAGACGGCATTTCACCACGAATCTTGCGTTTGGGATCCCCAGTTCTTGCCGAAGAGGTGACTAAGTTGATCAACTTCTGTATTCTGAATCGCTCATTGCCGTCTGAAAGGAAGCAAGCGCGCCTTACTCCTGTCTTTAAACGGGGGATTGACACAGACAAAGCAAACTACCGCCTTGTCTCAATATTAACTTCGCTATCGAAGGTATTTGAGAAAGTCATTTACGACCAAACTTGGAATGCATTTCATAGCGTTTTGTCCTCAAACTTATCTGGATTTATGAAAACTCACTCTTGCTGCACTGCACTGCTAAAAATGATGGAAGATTGGAGGAACAGTATTGATAACAAGGAAGCTGTAGCGGCGGTCGCTGTGGACTTGAGCAAAGCGTTTGATGCCATAAACCACAGCCTTCTGCTCGCGAAGTTGAAGGCCTATGGCTTTTCTCCACATGCCTTGGAACCGATGTCCATCTACCTGCTAGGTCGTCAACAATGTGTCAGATTAGAAGGCGTATGCTCTAACTTCAAAACAGTTAAATCTGGCGTTCCTCAAGGTTCACTATTGGGGCCGTTGCTGTTCAACATATTCATTAATGACTTGAATTTCAGTGTTCCTAATGTCTCATTGCGGCTGTACGCTGATGACACGACTGCCTATTTGTCTGATGTATCTTCCACCATTCTGGAATTTTCCTTCAACAAAGATCTTCAGACTCTTTCATCGTGGTTTGAGTCTAACCATTTAACAGTGAACAGTACTAAGACTCAAGCATTATCTGTCGGACCCTGTGCCTATCATTATTTTTTATTTCTTAGTAATGCTAGAATAGAATTTCTCCGATCTATTAAGATTCTCGGAGTTACTCTAGACAAGGACCTATCCTATAAAGAACACATATCAGATCAACTAAAGAAAGCCTACGCGAAGGCCTCTGCACTGAGAAGAATAAGGCGTTTTCTTCCTCATGATGCAATGATAAAACTTTATAAAGCATTTATATTACCTCATCTCGAATACTGCAGTCCTTTGTTTGTAGGCATAGGTACGGGTCAACGCAACCGTCTCGAAGATGGGAACTGTTATATTTTGAGAACATTAATCGGGCACAACAAGTCAATCTCATTCGACGAACTGCTCACTACGGCTAGCATGAAATCCTTATATTGTAGGCGCTTACACCAGGCGTTCATACTTCTTTTTGAATGCTTAAATGATACGGGACCTACTTATATTGGAAGCCTTTTTAAATACAGGCATACACCGTATAGGCTAAGAGGCGAGGGCTTGAATTTGGAATTACCCAACTTTAATTTTGAATTTAAGAATAATTTTTTCACTTATTCATTAACTAAGTTATGGAAAAGTTTGCCTTCTCAAGTGCGTCGTTCAAGAGGTGCTAATGACTTCAGAAGTAAATTGTACGACTGTAGCTTTTTAGAACGTGTCTTATAGTGCACGATTGTAGCTTTTAACTGTTTTTAGAACGAGTATTATAATTTTCCTAGTCACGTTTTTAGTATGTGGCTTTTTAGTCGGTTTTAGCTTTTTATATTTTATGTTTTTCTTACAAGGTTTTTTATATGTATATATTTATTGAGTTGTTTTTAAAATTGAACACACTCTCTTTTTTTATAAGAATATATTTTATAAGAGTATCGAGGCCGAAATTTGCCAAATTTTAAGAATATTTTAAGAATAAAGCCGAGGCTGAGATTTTGAAAAGGATAGATATAATTTTGTGTGTTGAAACATCTGTAAATGCAATACAATTTTATGTTTTTAACTTAACCGTATAAAATTATTCCTTTCTCTGAACGGCGAAACTAGCCAACAAAACGAAAAAACCTGCACTAGCTATAGCAAAATGTTCAACGCTAATGACAGTTCGATGAACGGTACATGTAATACATATGTACAGTATTCAGCACAAAAGACATAAACTGACTGCAACGAAAAGCGATGGAGCACGTGCACAATGTAACGCGATACAGATCTAGATACCGAACACTTGTAATTGATACCCCAATAAATTCTAAAACGGAAATGTCATATGCTATAACTTAAGAATAATACAAGAATATTTTCAGCCTAAAATCGGCAGAAAAATAAGAATATTCAGCCTGGGCTGGAAAAACAACATTCTTATAAAAAAAAGAGTGTAATATTATATAGCTGTAATTATTATAAATTTTATTTATACACGTTCGTATTTTGAACGAATTTTTTTTAGCTCTTTGACGTAACGTGTTAAAATAAATGATTGATTGATTGATTGAAGTAATTCGGAGTGTGATTTATCACCGTAGGGCAAGAAACAAACTTTCTCGGTCTTACAAGCCTGAGAAAGAAATGAGTTCTTTAATTGAGGTCTTGGTAAAGGAGCACTTCTGAAATGATTGGATTCCGGCATTGAAAACTTTCCCAGTGGATTAAATATGTGTGGCAAAGGTCCTTTTGTCATCTTGTTTACATCAACAGTTATCAACGAGATCAGTTTATGTTACATTTACATTTCCTTTTTGTTCGGTTAAAGATGAAGCGAGCTTTGGAAAAAAAAGCTAATGTTATAGCGTCACTGAGTCTGCTAGACCCAGCTTGTATCTTGTTGTTGATGGAAATTTTATACCATTGCTGGGTTGTGATGCTTGTTTAGACTTAGAAGTCCTTGAGTTTATGAACCTTGAACTGATAACTACTCTAGCATCAAAACAACCGGAGCAAGAAATGCCAAGTTTCTTCCAAACCAATCCTGCGTTGCAGGATTATAAAGATTGTTTTAGTGATAAACCTGGCAAGCTACCTAACAAAGCACATTTGGAAGTTGATCCTTCAGTTCCTCCAGTGGTACATCCTCCCAGAAAAATTCCAATTGCACTTCTTGAACCACCACGAGAGAAGCTCACAGAGATGGAAGTAGATGGGATTATTGTTAAAGAAGAGGAACACACGCCTTGGGTTTCATCTATGCTAGTGACTGACAAACGAAAAGTGAAAGAACAGAACACTCCACTTTTGAAGAATGATGTTCGAATTTGTATTGACCCAAGGCACCTAAACAAAGTTCTTAAGAGACCACACTATCCAATGGTTACTGTAGAGGAGGTTGCCAACCGATTATCGGGTGCAAAGAGTTTCATGTCTCTTGAAGCTTGCAGTGGATACTGGCAGCTCCCAGTGGATGATGAAAGCTCAAAGCTCTTAACATTCAATACCCCCTGGGGTCGATATCGATTTAAGGCTCCCTTTTGGCATCTCTTCTGCCCCTGAAATCTACCAAAGGGAGATGGACAAACTCTTTGAAGGAGTTCCTGTGGAGATTATAGTTTATGATTTCGTGATACATGGTAAAGATCAAACCGATGCTGATCAGAAATTGAGAAGAGTACTGGATAGAAGCAGAGAAGTAGGATTGAAGTTCAATCCAAAGAAAGTGGGGAGTTCCTGAAGTGAGCTATGTTGAACATGTGTTCTCGGCCGAAGGATTGAAACCTGACCCTGATAAAATCCGCGCGATCAGTGAGATTCCTCCTCCTTCTGACAAAGAAGGTGTACTTCGAATACTAGGAACTGTCAATTACCTTGACAAGTTCATTGAACACAAAGCCAATCTACAAGAGCAGATTTCACAGCTTACCAAGAAAGATGTAGCATTCGTGTGGGAGAAACCACATTAAGAGGCTTTGATAAGCTGAAGTCTGTCATCGCTAGTGCACCGGTGTTAGCATACTTTGATGACAGCAAAGAAACGGTGCTAAGTGTTGATGCCAGTAGCACAGGCCTTGGTGCAAAGGAAAGGCTTTTGCTCTCTCCCATGTGAGCTCCATGAATTTTATCTAACACTTCAGCTCTCAATGGTCTTGGCACTACAATTCTGTCTGATTTTAATCACTTGCCATCCTCAACACTCAGCTCTTTTCTGAAATTCCAATATTCCCGGGCAGGTTCATCAACTTGTTCTTTCTTAGAGGGCCATCCTTTCAAAACGTACTCCATAACCACTCTTGATGTCTCATCAGCACTTGAGCTGTCCTTGAATCTCTTCAGGGTGCTGCTTTCTAATCCAAGTTCCCTAGCAAGATTAACTCCGATTAGCTATTTGGATTCACTGAATGGTTCAGTTTCACTGAGAGGTGCTCTCCTAAAACAGTCTGAAATGACCTGCTGTTTTCCGGGGACATAACACGTACATAAGGTCATACTTAGTGACTTTCAGCAACATCCTTTGTAGCCTGGGAGGAGCCTCATTCAGTGGTTTCCGAAAGATTGACTCCAGCGGTTTGTCTTTTCTGTCATAAAATACCTCTGCGCCCTTGCACATATGTGTGAAACTTTTGCGCTCCTCATACAATCGCTAACAGCTCTCTTTCAATATTTGCATACATCTTCTCTGAGGGAGTCAATGCCTTTGAACTGAAGGCAGGGGATTTTGTTTTCTGGTCTTCCATGACTGCCCAAATCAAAGGCAAAGTCAGTTCCTGTGCCGTGTGTAATGTGTTCCGCAACTGACAACAAAGAGAATCATTACATCCTCATGACATTCCAGGATTACCTTGGCAAGTAGTTTGGACTGATCTGTTTGAATATGGTAGCCAAACGTACCTGTTAGTTACTGACTTCTATTCGAAGTACTTTGAAATAGAACTGCTTCGCCAGAACAAAGACTCATTGAATCGTGTTAGGAGGGAGATGTTGTAACATTGAAACCTGTGGGGATCCCCCTCAGGAGCCCCTGACTGACTTACATGCGCACCCCGAAAACGGGGAACCGCGTGCTTTGTGTTTTTGACTTGCGTGGGACACGAACATGTTAGAATTACCTTTACTAGTCGCTGATTTTAGCTTCATTGAATGATCTTATAACCCTTCGCATGTTGATTCGATTTTCAGACGACTAGGAAATTGTTGACCTCTAGAAGTCTATTAGGAAACTATTACTGAATGACTGAAGACTAGGTTGTGGCCTGAAAAAAAACGTCTATTAAAATAATTATTATTATTAATTGTAATAATAATTATTTTAATTGAAACGAAATGTTTTCTAATTCAAATATTTTTTTAATTAAATGAATTTTTTCTAATCAAAACTAAGTGTTTTTTTAAACGAAAGGAATTCTAACTAGTGTTTTGACGGAACAGTTTGTTTTTTTTTTACGTGAATTAATTGTAAATAGGATTTCAATAGTTAGCATTAATATCATCATTAGTATTATTAGCATCATCATTATCATTATCATTATCATTAAAATTCTCCTTGCCACTATGGCCTCATTAAAACACAAAGAACAACCACGCTCCTTTGTTTGGCACACTGAGAGGTTTATTCAGTAAAATCACTAGCCGGTAAAATATGTGACTACCTGCACTTTCACTCGACAACCCTTCGACTCGAAAGCGGGTGGGTAGGGAGGGTCTAATAAAATTACAATACAAGCTGTATCAAACTTTTGCTTCAATCACTTATTCAAACTTTAAATGAATGGCCTCTGACACGTGTTAGGCGGTTTTAATATAGCCCTACGTTAATTATAAACTGGAATATGATATGGCCGACTAATAACCATAGGTCTACGTCAAATGAAGCATTTTAAGCGAAGCTCAAAATCAATCCATTGTTATTATCATTACTATTATTGTTGTTGTTTTCATTGTTGTTATTATTATTTCATTGTTCATAGGTCTGTTCAAACAGCAACTCTCTTATCTACTGGGATGTGAACAACACAGATAAGCCAGTATGCAAGTTTCGTTGGCTGCTTTCGTGTTTGTCTGCCTCACGCTCGTAAACTGCGGCAAGGCGAACTTTCACGAAATTAACGGCAGTATCAGTAAGAACCAGACCTTGACCTATGCGGACGGACCGTACCTGGTTACAAGTGACTTGGTTATTTCTCAGAATGCCTCTGTTTTCATAGAGGCCGGTACCGAATTTCTGGTAGTTCCAAATGTCGGAGTTCACGTTCAAGGAACATTACTCGCCAAGGGGACAAGGTCTCAAAGAATCACTTTCCGAGCAATTTCTTGTAACGAAACGAAGTTCTGTAATAGCACTAAATTATACAACCCTGGAATAAGGCTGGTGGATGGTTCATCGTACAAAAAGGGACGTTTGGAGCTGGAGTGGAATGGACAGTGGGGAGGGGTTTGCTATGAATACTACGGCAGTACTTGGAATTTCAAAAATACTCAGGTGGCATGCAGGCAACTTGGCTTCTTGAGAGCCAAGAGATACTATTTGCAGGCTGCTAGCAGTGGCCCCGTGTGGATAAGAAATGTAAACTGCAATGGGAATGAGCAGAGCCTTTTCCAATGTAGACACCGTGGAGCTGGAAATCATTGTAGTAAGTTATTAAGATATAGAGGGGACAAAAGGCTCGCGACGCATCGATATTCGATCTTCAGAAGAAAACGGAAAAGAGTATATTACCATATATATTATATATTACCAAGAGACGAGTATATTACGCTCCTAGGCGGCAGTTCAGGGACGACTAGATATAGCCATATGATTATAGTCAAAAATGGCCCGGGTCACGCGATGTCTCATTCAGGACACCTACCAGATTTTCATTTTGATATCTAAGCTGGGTTTGGCGAATCGAGAGAAATGGTCGGACATGTACATGTACGCATATGAATGAGCCATTGTGGCGTATCCTTGGTGGGGTAACCTGCCAGTCCATATAATCTCTCATTTAGTTAATTTGATCACGTTTATATCATTTCTCCTCGCCCTTTCCCTTCGTTTCTGAGATTTTGGAGCCCAAACAGGGGAAGGGGGAGGGGAGTGGTGCTGGGTGGGTGGTTGGGGAGGCGTTACTGTGGATTTTAAGTGACAGGGATGATCGAAGGAGTTTTTTGGGTTCTTCCGGAAATAAAGTATAAAACCAAACTTGTTTTGCGACTGTTTCTGCTTCCAGGAAATTTTTATGGCTCCGAAATTTGGCATGGGTTTTTTGGGGGGTTAAATTCTGGTCCAGGTTTTTTTGTTTGAAGCTCTAAGGGTTTTTTTGAGTTTTGATCCAGTGCCCCCATTCGATCATCCCTGTCACTTGAAGTCCGGACTACGTCCCTGGGTTTTGGAACTTTCCGGGCTTAAGAAACCTGCCTTTTGACTCCTTTTCGTTGAAATGACGGCAAATTTCGTTTGGTTGGATTTCAAAAACTGGTTAAGATATATGCACCCGATTTCAAAAAAGGTTTTTATATGGGGAGATCCATAGATAGATATTTACGTTTGTTTTCTTGCACGTGCGCCAGTGTGCATTTTCACCCGTTGGTGTCCATGGGCCCCCCTTTGTCACTGTAAGTTTGGTTTTGTTGCGGATGGTGAAATCACCAAATGACCATCTCGTCGCAAACCTCGTATTCACTGAGGTCAGGACCATCAGGCCATGTGTTACCCGGCCGAACTGACCGGTTCTCAGAATTCGTGTCAGTTAAATATTCGCCGTATATCGATTGTGTGTAATAATGTGTATGCGATTTCTACCATATTACTGCTTTATTATATTTATGTTTTTATATTTATATATTTATATGTATAATTGTATGTTTGTAAGTGCTTTGCCTGACCCTACATGTAATTCAGAGAAATCTGCGAATGGTGGAAATAAACAAATATTATTATTATTATTATTAAAAATATTCAAAGGACGCTCAACAATTTCGACCCTCAACACCAGACCTAACCAGCCGTAGTCTAAGCAACATCTAGAAATACCCTGAAGAATACACAATACGTGAAGTTAAAGGTGTCTTTTCAAGGATTAAAGATTTAAACTGGTATGATAAAATATACTAGCCACCTGAGTTTATTTTTAATTAATCCAGATTTACTGAGTGTTTGTGGCAGATGGACATAGCAATTCTATGTCGTTCCTGTATTTAAAAATGGAATGCAGCTAGTTAAGTAGAGAACTAGACAGTTTCCCTCTCACAACTTTGTTAACTTTTGCGAGAAATTTAATTAACATTTACAACCAATACCCTAGCTCATCTTCTAATCTCTAGCAAATAGCAAAATTGACAGTTTGCTTTTGTCTAGAGTGACCCACCCAATGTACTGATCAGAAATTGCTTCAAGACAAAACGGATACTAGACAACGTGATGGACTTGACTGCCATTTTTTTTCCCCTCTCTAGATCGTTACAAAGACATTGTAATTGAGTGTGACACGTTAATACCTTACTTGAAAGAGAGGGTTTATTGGAAAGGCATTTATTTTTCAATGTCAAACTCCACGAGAGAACAAAAGCAAAAAAGCTCATTCCTGGAAAACGTCGACATAATCAACGCCTTTGATGGCGTTAAGGCACTAAACGAGGTTCCGGTTTTGTTAAATGTCACTGTTAGAGACGGTATAAATGGAATTTTGGCAAAAGAATTGAGTCACCCGCTGAAAGTGGTGGATTCAAAGTTTTTGAGATGTGAGTCTGTGGGTATAAGTGTCACAAGCAGAGGAGCACCCGTCGTGGTCCAAAATGTAACTGTTCAAAATACAAGTTATGGGAACGGATTTGTGTACGAGTGGATACCAACAGATGCTGTGGATCTATGTCGCGTCGATCCAGAAACCGTCTCATTCCCCTTGGTTTTAAACGCATCTGGTGGTACTTTACCAAATAACTGCAGCAAGGTAAGAGTAGGATAAAAGGGATACGTTTCTAGAGAAACTGTGATGTTACTCAGGCGGAATGAGAATGAGAATGTTGACAATTGTTGGAAGCTAGAAGCTTCTCGGGTCAAACAGTAACAACATTCCTCGAAGGTACGTAATTAAGAGCCACTTTCTGCGGGGACCGAGTGAGAGGTAGCATATGATGGAAAAAATGCCTATCCTCATGTTTCTTGAGAGATAGCTTATGGTGAGTCAATATATGTGTTGTAATTTTTTTGTTGAAATATTGTTTTCTTTTCCAGAAATTTCTCAAAAACTGTAACGAGTGGCCACCGCCATAAAACATTTTGGGCTTTTATTCACTGCTAGGAAAAAGTCCGCTAAACTTTGAGGAAATCACGCCTTGACTTGTCAACAAACGAAAGTAATCATCAATTTACGCTCTTTGTTATCAAAGCCAAAATTTCACACAAATCTAAGCTTTTAGCACTATTTTAGATCTAAAAGACAGTACAGTAGACTTACCTTGTAGAGCCAGCAGTCAAAAATTGTTTTTTCTCCCTATTTTCGTTTCAAATTGCCTTCTCCATAGTGTAACTTGATTACTTTCGTTTGTTGACAAGTCAATGCGTGATTTCCTCAACGTTTATCATTTTTTCCATCATCTGCCGCGATTTTTCGATTTCACGCGGTCTCCAGAAAAAATCGCTCTTAAAAGGAGAGAGCCTAACATCTGCATTCAAGCCAAGTGGCTCATTAGGCCTGAGCTTAACTTGGTGTCTGTAGCATGAGGCGACTAGTAACATTTTTATCACCTTTTTTAAGGGACACCAGTCCATAGCAGGGCTGCCGTCGCATAAAATTCGCCGGTGTCCATTCATTCACCTGGTTGAAGTAAGGCACTGTGGGGGGAAATGTGCTTTGCCCTAGGACACAACACAATCACACTAGCTCTAACTATTGCGCTAATAGGTAACAGAGAAAAAAAATACAATCTATACTTCGCCTACACAAGTTGAATAAAGTTGAAAAAGAGGGAGAACGAACTAGTATATAAAAAAATGTAGATAAATGTCGATACGATGTTGGGACACCGTTTTAACAAGTTGACACAACATGTGGTGCGAAGGGGTGTCAGATGTTTGTATCATCGAATTTTATAATTTACCAAATTTTTTCAAAAGATAAATCCTTAACAGATTCTATACAAGCGTTTTTTTCTGTCGTTATAGACCTTTCGAGCAACAGCTGGCAAAGCGCTCTGCATACATTTTCGTGTAATTGCGGGAAGTGCTTTCGAACTCAATGTTACCGACGGAAGTACCTGGAGTAAAGACCTGCTCAGCAGGATTACCAGTGATTACAATGGTAAAACGATAAAAACTGGCTCCTCGTCTGTTTTGGAACTGCATTACTCATCTAAAGGGAGTGTTGACAATCCTGCTTCCTTGGAGATCATTATAATGGATGATTATGGTAGGGTTTTGTATCTGTTAACTACGGGGGTGAAGATGTAATAGCGGTACGTAATCTTACTGGACTGACTTACAGGGGCATCCAACGGGAAATTTTGAGAAAAAGACCTAACAACAAGGAGAAAGCATAAATAAAGCTTTCTGAAGCCATTTAAGCATTTTGTGAGATTGCTGGGATGAATTTGTCTGTTCCCCTGTCCCAGCAAGACTGATGGAAGAGTTCCTAGCCAGCAAGGGGCATCTACAAGACCTACAACCGGCCGCAAACTTACTTACTGGAAAGTTTTCCAGCAAACGTATGTCCAGACATTACTGCCGAGTCTGGGTGTGGTCATAGGGCAAACTTCATCCCTTACATAAAATCAAATTCCCTCAGAGACCATGAATTGTCTATTTCTCAGTAACACTTTACATATTACTCGTTCCAAATCTCCCAGCCAGCAAATTAAAATTTACCTGAAGAACAGATATTTTGAGGAGCATATCCATTGGGTGCCTCTGGACGTACAAAGGAAAAAAATCTTCGACTCACCTTTTTTGATTTATTTTTCTTAGCTTTTTCGGTGCTGTTGATTATATTATATGGTCTGCAATGCTTCACAAGCTTCATGTGGTTGAAGGGTAGCGACGCCAAAAAGCAGTAAACACTCACATTTAGTTTTTAGAGCTAAGAATTTTACTTTAGCAAAGGTTTATTTTTAGATTAGTGAATTGTAAAATGAAAGAATTCGCAGTCACCTGACGCCACTTGCTCCGTTAGCTCAATATGAAGCGTCGGTTTGCTGAGCGGAAGGTCATGAACTCTAACCCTGACCGGACAAACGCTCAGGGTCTTAAAATCTAAAGAGAATGTGCTTCCTTTGTAGTGGCAGCTTTAAATGGATAGAGGTTCTAGTCTTCTTAAATAAGGAGTGAAAAAACAGTTTTAATTATTAAAAAGAAAAACAATCAGCCATTTCGAATTTCGAATTTCGAAACAGCCATCTTCATCTCTGAGCCCTCATTTAGCCAGTTAAAGCTTTTTTTTTTTGTATTTTTTTGCTTACTGCGACCGGGAGTGGTTGGGGGAAGCCCATCTCTATAACTTTACAGCCACCAAAATTACACAGAGTAAAGGACTCATTATTTCCAATATTTAGGCATAACTTGACTGAGAGAATGACATATCTTGACAGAGATGTTGAACTACTTCCTTCTGGCAGTGTATATGGTGCGCAGTACTTTTTTGAACCAATTATAAAATAATTCTGGTTTTATCCTACTTTTTGTAAGCACTAATGGATTTTATTTTGCCCCGTTGATGACCTAAAAAGACGAAAACAACTTTAAATTTACTAGTGATCAACTCGCTTAGAGCTCGTAAGCCCCTTTTTTGTCCCCACCGCGTTTTGACGGCGTTATCTGTGATACACAACTATAGCACGGCAAAACTAAATATGTTTGTGATATGTTCTTTGTGTTAAAGAATCTTCTATTTCCATTCTAGCTCTACCTTTATCATTGTTAATATCAGGGAGCAGCTTTGTGAAAAACTCCAACGACGGAATTTTAATTAAGAAAATGATCGGCCACTCCAAAATTTCTAACACCATGGTGACGCAGAATAACCACTATGGACTTCACATAATAGAGGCACGAGGCAGAGTAAATGTCCTATCGTCTTTATTCCGAGGAAACAATAAACATGGTATATACGTGGAAACTATTTCAGGATTGATTGGACTTAAAAAAGTAAACTCTTCGAAAAACTACCATTCGGGCATGTCAATTGGCGTTGGAAGCATATTGCTATCAGTATCAGACAGCAACTTTGATAACAACGATCATAGTGGGGTACGCATCACAAACCAGCTTCACACTACCATTAACATATCCGACGCTCAATTTAAAGGGAATGCCCGTAATCATCGTAATCACGGACTTTATCTGGTGGACTTCAAGGAAGATTGCAATGTTCAATTATCAAACCTAAACATAGTTGGGAACACGGTATCAAACGGAGCTTTTTTCGAACGGTTAAGTCTTGCCAATTTAATAATAACTTCCTCTAAGTTTGATGAGAACGGTTGGAATGGATTATCAATTGCTGGTGTTTCGTGTCATAAAGGTACCTTTCGAAACATTTCTACGTCTCGGAATGCTCAGAGTGGCATTTATGTGTCTGGCGGAAATTTTAACGTATCATTAATCTCTTGGACTTCACTTTCAAACAGCCGTAACGGATTTTACTTAGAAAAACAAGCAGGAAAGGTTAACGTAAATGGCTGTCTTGTCAATGATAACCAACGAGATGGTTTAGTATTTTTCGACGGTGGGTATGTTCGGCTTTACGCTGTACTCATTCAAAAGTGTACGCTTTCAAATAACCGATACGGTGTACTTTTTACGCTTCGCCGTTATACAGGCCTTATGAACTACCGGGTTATTGTGGTGGACTCTACAATTGCCAACAACACTCAGGGGGGATGTGAATTTTTCTCTAAAAGTTGCAGTAACCCTCATCGCAACAGGTACCTCAAACTTTCGTTTGCAAGAAATAAAGTAATGGGAAATAAAAAATACGGCCTGTTCTTTTACGGTCCCGAACAATCCGAAGTGGAGGCAACTGTACAGAATAACACAATGGAGGAAAATACGGGATATGCCTTAGGCCTGGAGTACACAAAGTACTGTAGTGCCTCTCCACTGTTTCCGGTGCTGGTGAATGTTCAAGGAAACATTTTTACCAAGAATAAAGGAGAATATGTTGTCTTCGTCAATTTCAAATCCATGACATCGAAACACCAAATGATCATCTCACAAAACAGCTTTTTTGAAAACCAGAATGTCCGCAAGTTTTTAACAAACTATGCCCGTGTCAAGACCCAGACTGTCCTTGCTATTAGTAAAGGGAACGTAACAGTGAAGCGCAATGCATTTGATAATCCCATGTTCCCCCATGAGATAGCAACCCTATATATTGACCACGAGATAATGTATCAAGCTATAGAAAACTGGTGGGGCTCAAGCGATGAATGCAAAGTAAAGGAGAGGATTTTTGACTACGAAGATCGAGTCGAACTGGCCCGGATTCACTACTATCCATTTTTAATCTATCACAATTCCAGTAGTGTCATTATCCATAATAGTACAAGGGCATTGTGCTTTCTACAGGGAACGAAAGTGGGTGGCATATTGAACGAGCCAATTACCATACCTAGAAACAGTGGTGCTTATCAAGTGACCGGCGATGTCACAGTTTTTTCCGATGGCACTCTAACAATCGAAGAGAACGTCACTTTGGAATTTGACTTGAAGGCAGTGTTTCTAATTTATGGAGAGATCATTATCAAAGGTACCAGCACGAATAGGGTAAGGTTTATCCCAAAGAAACCCTCTGAAAAGACAGTAAGGCTGGCGGATGGTCCAGGTCCATGGAATGGAAGACTTGAAATATGGTTTAATAATACGTGGATGCCGATATGCCTGAGGTGGTACCAGCACGAATATAGCATTGTATGTAGACAATTGGGATACGAGGAAGATAAATACTCAAAACGCTATCCGAGTGGCAAAGAAACTGTCTTTCTGCATAACTTCCAATGTGATACAAACGAAAATGACAATGTTGCAAACTGTGGTCGTGAAAACTGGATTTCTGGACCTCGTTGCTCCGAGTATGTGGCATATATTGCTTGCAAAACTCCCTACTGGACTGGAGTTCACCTAGCAATCGCCCCAAAGAGAAGCGTCATCACAAACCTCGATATTAGCTACGCAGGCTTCGATTACAGAAATGACTTAAGGATTCCTGGCATCGCCTTAAGGATTGATCTTAGTCACAACATAAGCGGTGTTGTTGTAGATAATTCCGCTTTTATAGGCGTCCAAATAATGTACCCAAATCCCTTTAAAAGCTCTTACGACATGCACAATGTCACCATTTCAAACACCAAATCGGATGGAATTCGTTTGGAATCCCCACTAGTCAAGATCATGAACACTGACGTTATAAACACGAGTGGTCGTGGATTTTTGTCTGATTTTAATTGGAAGCCCCTTAACATTCATGTGTTGAATATGGCCGAAGCCAAAGTAAAAAGGTATTTACAACCGTGCACCGATAGACATATCTTTCTAGACAGTGCCAGCCCAGTATACTACTTAAGCGTAAAAATTGATTATAGCAAAGGCTGCGAGACCATTATCACAGTTCCACAGAAATACTACATCGGAATGCAACTCATCTACCAAAACCTACCCTATTACGTGTTATTCCACGTTTACAGCGGCAAGAACAAGACATCAGAAACTGCATGGGATATCCCTTCGTTAACATGGCCAAGCCGTCCAGTGTGGAGGTCAAACACTAGCACAGTCCTTCTCGAAAGTTACTCCCGGTATTACCCTGACCATCGTAGTTACTCGGTGCATTTAATGGTGTATCTCATTAAAGGTAAGCCTCATTAAAATTAATGGGGTAAATGTTAAAAAGCATTTTAACACAAACTAAGCTTCCCCTCTGCTCAATATATATTAAGTGCCACTTATTAACCGATAGTGAGGCCATAACACCGAAATCTCAGACCCGGAGACCTTGATGTCAAGGTCAAGATCTGAGATCTCCTTGGGGTGAATTCACTCCTAAGTGGTATATAACGAGTTTCAATTTCATAAATTACAAGATATATATCTCTGCAATGTCAACCTCAATGAACATGAGTGTTTAATTTGTACTACAGCAGACAGTACTGTTTCGGCCTTCTGGGATTCATCAGTGCAGTGCTGATGCCAGGATGGGGGTTATGAAGCTAAAAAGCCACCCCAAATGATACCACAATTATGTTATCATCTAAGCCATGTCAGAGTGCTCTAACTAGTAAACTAGTGAGCATGCGCAATGCTATGGCCGTAACTCATCCTAAGAGTGCTCCATTTCAAAATGAAAGCAAAGCTTTATATGCAAAAGAGCTATATCTAACTGCAGACAACACTGTTTCGGCCCTCTGACCCTATATATATTTATTATATATCTTTTAGATAATTTTTTATCTCAGTTGATTTTTATTTTTCCATTGTTTTGGGTATGGTAATGTATGCTAATGAATTTAAAACAAAGGAAAAATAAAAATTGACTGACATTAAAAAAATAACTGCAACATATACGTACTGAGATGTACCAACTGAAAAGGCGCGAAATGAATTTGGTTCTGGTCTAATAAGAACCCGACAGCCAATCAAACGACGCGTATCGCTTTTTCCACGTGTGAGGAAAAATGATACGTCCAATCAGGTGCCACGTATCATGTATTTTGACGTGTGAGCCGTAACAAGGTGATTTTCATTCAGCTGACAGCATTTCTCATATTTAAAGTAAACTTTCGCAAGTGTTGATACTTAAAAACATGAGCGAGAGGAGGTTTGTTCATCAAGATACTTGGAGTTTCCTCTGCCGAATCATTGTTGAATACTGTTTGGCTGAAAAACACCATTCATTTTGAAATGCGTGGTTGTCAAGAGCATTGGAATTTGTGCTGGGAAGATGTAAAGCTTTGTAAGGACGCACAAGGTAACGAATATCTAGTGTACAATAAAAGAAAGACAAAAACAACGTCTGGAGTAGACGCTTCAAACTTTCGTCTAAAAGTTTCTGAAAAAAGGTTAAAGAGAGGAGTCCGACTCAGATTAAAATTCAGAAAAAATATTTCAACATTCTTTGCTTGTTGTAATGTTAAATTTATGTAAAAAATTTAAGCTTATGTTTTAATCCTTGCACGAGAATCTCACTTCAAGTCGTGTAACAGAGTTTTGTCTTGGTTTGTCATGTCAGACGATAGGCAAGAGTTTAAATCTCAGTATGTATATAATAAACGCAATACCACATGGAAACTGCTTTGTACGGCATTTACGCTCTCGTTGTTTTTGTATAAGAAATATCACACGCTCGGCGCTGCGCTCACTCTTGATTTCTGATACGTCAGCAACTCGTGCTTAAATTCCGTACGTACTCACTTTTCATGAAGTATTCAATATATATTACATTTTTTGCTTCAATATAATATAACTACTATTTTGCCAAATTATAAACCACAGGTACCCCAAGCTCACGAGCAAGAACCTTTCTTGCATAACAGAAATATTATAAGGGTATGGAGATTCCAGCGATTGTTATTTAGGGGTTAAAAACAGCATTAAAGATAAATCAAAATTCCTTACCTTGTCTTCTTGACTGAATTTATGGTGTTTTCGTAGCCGTTCTTGGCCGTTTCATGGCGATTCCAGCGAGGTTTAGTTCTGCCGTTGTTGGTTGGTTGGAATCTCCATACAAATCCTTGTAATATTCATGATATGCAACAACGATTCTCACTCACTTTACATCATGTACTGGTTTGCCCCATGCAAGGGAATCCGGATTCCGGAATTCGGGAAATTTTGCTTGTGGAATCCGGAATCAGAGAAAATTTTGCTTTTGAATTTCGGTTTTGGAATCCGGATTACAGCTCAAGGAATTCGCAATCCCACTAATGATTAGATCCAGAAACCATGTTCTACTGACAAATACAGGAATCAAGTACCTGGAATCCGGAATCCACAGCGTGGAATCCAGAATCCAAGACTGTCCTGGATTCCCTTACATGGGGCGATACTAGTCTTAGTGTGGCTTTGGTTTTGTTTTATTAAGGAAACAACAGAGAAGCATTGCCAGCACCAAACGTGGACATTTTAAACAGTACAAACCTGAACATTTTAAACTGTAACTTTTTAAACAACGCTCTTGGGGGAATTTTCTTGAGCAATGGACGTGACATCTTAGAAAACGTCATTATCCAAGACTCTGTGATTCGTAATTCGCAAAAGAGTGGACTTCAGACTACATTTGCAAGTGTCAAAAAACTGAGTCTCATAAACTGCTCGTTTATAAGAAATATCAATGGAATCCAACTTTCTACATTTTCTGGTATGGTGAACATTGAAAACACCACTGTGTCAAATTCGTCTAACAATGCACTGTACGCCCCATCTCGAGGAAAGAAGACGGTTTATTTAAGGAACAGTCGCATTACCTACAACAAAGGATATTCAGTTTATGTTTATGGAAACAGGCCGCAGCTTAGCTTTTATGCGATTAACAGCTTTTTTGAACAGAACCAAGCCACGACCATTTATTTTGAAACCTGGTCGGCTGACGTTGAAGATGTTTACTTTAGAAACTGTACATTTCTATTAAACCAAGGACCCGCGATAAACATTAAGCATTCATCTGATATAAGTCATTGGGAATTTGTTGAAAACAAGTTCATGGAGAACGGTCAACCTTCAGTTATCAAGAAAACTCAATATAATCATCCAGATGATACACCTGAAATATACTTTAGTAGAAATGCATTTTTATACAACCACTGTGAAGACAAAGGCGTTATTGATGTTACGGGAGGAACAAAAGTATTAATAGTTGATGGAAATGTTTTCGAAGGAAACTACGGGAGATCAATTTTTCTTGAAGAGACATCATACTCGCCTTTGACGGCAAAAAATAACATCTTTTACAGCAATAAATGCTCCGAAAAAGGCGTTTTGGAAGTACGAGCGATGCATAGAGAAATTACGATAGATAACAACGTATTTGAATCAAACGAAGGCTTATTCATGGTTCTTCTTAACAGTGCCTTTCCGATAGAGTTGCAAATGGCGAACAAACACGCGAATTTTGGGAACAATACCTTTGTTAATAACACGAACGTGCCATCGAATAGCCTTGCATGTGAACTTAGTATCTCAGGACTAATTGATCACATAAACTTTTCTATACACTATAATAAATTCAACAGCTTAAGGTTTACGAAGGAACTGTGTGTGTTCACCTTTGCTTCATCTTACTCAAGGAGGCTGGACATTTCTCTAAATTTCTGGGGCCACAATGACAGAAGTGGAATTCGGAAAAGAATCTTTGACGCAGAAAGCGATTACGAGTATGCCTGGGGTATGATTTCCCCATTCCTGAGCGATTCAGGAAACATTCTGCACGAAAAAAAACAAAGTGGTAACTTTGATAAGGATAATAGCCTTTTAGGTGGACGACTGACATCCACCTTGCGGCTTGGTATTAGTCATAGCCCTTACAAGATTCTCTCTGATCTTACTGTCTTGCCACAGATTTCTCTAGTAATAGATCCGGGTGTAGAGATGCAGTTTCATTCTGGCGTCGGCATGCTGGTTCTTGGTTCTCTTCTCGTGAATGGAAATGAAAGTCACCCTGTTTCATTTTCTCTTTTGGAAAAAGATCAAAGTAAAATGTCAATACCCGTTCGCCTTTTTGGAGGTACTTTCCCTTGGCATGGAAAGGTGGAATTATTACATGACGGTAATTGGATTCCACTGTGCTCAAACGTATCAGCTTTGCGGGAAGAAATGAATAACGCCAAGGTTATATGCAAACAGCTGGGCTATAAGAAGCCCTTGAACATCAGTCGAAGACTTCAAGGATCTATGGATGTAATGCCGTTTAGCATAATGTCTAGTTGCCATGAAAATGAATCCGACATTAGCCAATGTTCCCTGACATTTCAAAATCGCAGCTACGATAATTGTACACATGCAATGGTTCTCACCTGTTCTGGGGGTTTACCGTGGGGAAATATTCGATTTGTGCGCGACGAAACAAGCCCATTCGACGCAGCTAAATCGCAGTTACAGCACATGAAGATCAAGCATTGTGGTATGAAACATGGGAAAGACGTCGCCGCGTTGGAAATCTTTCAGTACGTTCCAAAAGTCCATTCTGTACAAGTGTTAAACTGCTCAGCGGGTGGTTCCAAGTTGTGGTTTCCCGAAAAAGAAATGTTATTCGCAAACACCTCTTTCATTAATACAGGGGGAGTGGGAGCTGCAATCCTGACAACGAAAAAGAACGTTACTTTGCAGAGAGTCAGGATTATAAACAACAAGAATGGAGTGTTCTTTGGTAACCCGAATGGACAGTGGATGGACGGACTACTGAACGGACAAGTCATGCTGTGCGCTTCAGAACAAGTTGTAGATCTTCGAGATGGCGATGTCTTTCTGTACTTTAGACAACCCTTCATTACCATTTATAACCCCACTGTCACGTGCAAGAAATTAATTCGAACAGGAAACAATTATGGATTCGCTCTTAGGCTGATAGTAGTGAAGAACGTAGATTACATCACAATACAAGACCCTCATAGAAATACGATCATAAAGTATTCCTCAAGAAGTCAAATTTCATTGTCAAAACGAAGGCTTATTCCCTGGAGCAGTATCACAATCTTTTTCAAAGGATGGTTCAGCACCAGCGAAGTCCTTTTACATCTCGAGCGGGCAGAGGACAACGGTTTGTTTTATTCCGATTGTCTATCGTCAGGATTTTGCCATTTTCTTGAGCAACTTTAGAAATATTTATCACAAAATAGTAAATACTTGAATCCTTAACCCTCGTCTTGCTGTCTCACAGATTTCCCTTGTACATTTGAAGTAAGTGATTGTGGCTGGAAAAACTATCCTGGAGGTTATTTCAATGGCGTTGCTCTGGCAAGGAAGTGGTATTGGAATGACATCTATGGCAAGCATAGCGCCGCTTCGGATCATACATATGGCTACAGAGGGGGTGAGAGTTACTCTATTTTTTTTTTATAATTAATAACAGTTTAACTAAAGACTTCACTAAAAAAACGAGATCTGACGTAAATGATTGTTCCTTCCTTTGCACCTGTGTTTTTTTTAAAATGAGATTGATATTCTTCGCGTCATTGCCTGCAAAGAGATAAAAGTTTCATCAATATCGATGTCGAATAGACTCTTAAGACTCATATCAACAGTCGTCCCTTTGTTTGCTAATAAGCTTGTTATCGTTCGAGGTCAGCGGTCTTGTCAGTTAGAATAAGTCTTGGATAAAAAAGCACATGGTTTTGTTCTTTACTTAGTTTTCTCTTCGACCGCCATTGTTCTATTCGTTCATTGTTCAATGTAAATCTCTTCGGTTCTAAGCAATACAGTTGATTCAAGTTATCCCTGTCTACTCTCTTTGATTACGACTCGTGTCTTTGCGACATTATTTACGTTGCCCGTTGCATTAACGTGAAGTTTCGCTTTCATGGCATATTACGCAATTATAACTAAAATCAACTTACATGTACTTACCTACTTACCTACTTACTTACTTAGTTACCTAGTTACTTGCTTACTTACTTACTTACTTACGTGCTTACTTACTTACCTACTTACTTACTTTCTTACCTACCTACTTACTTACTTACTTACCTACCTACTTACTTACTTACTTACTTACGTACCTACCTACCTACCTACTTGCTTACTTACTTACTTTCTTACCTAACTACTTTTTTACTTACTTAGTCACTTACGTACTTACTTACCTACCTACTTACTAATAACCATAGTACAGAAACAGCACTTTTGAAAGTTACCAACGACATTATGATGGAAATTAATTCTCAGCATGCTGTTCTACTTGTGTTACTTGACTTAAGCGCTGCCTTTGACATTGTTGATCGTAGTGTTTTGTTGCGTAGACTTCAAACTTCATTTGGAATTTCTGGAGCACCATTAGATTGGCTAAAGTCGTACTTGTCAGCAAGAAGTCGTGTTTCCATTCCCGGCGCCCTCTCTGACAGTCTTCCTCTTGACTGGGGCGTTCCACAAGGGTCCTGTCTTGGTCCCTTGTTGTATGTCATTTACTCTTCAAAGCTATTTAACGTCATTGAACGCCACCCTCCAAATTCTCACTGATATGCAGATGATTCACAAATATATTTCCCCTTCAAGCCCGATGACTTGTCAAGTCAACAAGATGCTATAACTGCCATGCAAAATTGCATTAACGACATTCGCTCATGGATAGAACACGACAAACTACTTCTCAATGGTCAAAAGACGCAATTTCTCGTCATTGGCACCCGGCACCAGTTATCTAAAGTTAATATTTCTTCGATCACTGTGGGAAACCCTGCTATAATGAAATCGTTAGTTGTTAGGAACCTTCGCTCGTACATTGATGACAAGCTGACAATGAGCTCCCACATCAACTAAGTCTGTAATGCATCATTTTACTATCTGCACAACATTAGGCGGATAAGAATACACCTATTGCGTGACTCCTAAGAGACTCTTATTCACGTGTTTGTCTCCAGCTGATTAGATTACTGTAACAGTTTACTCTATGGATTGCCACAGGTACAAATCGATAAGATACAAAGAGTTATAAGCAAATTAAGTTTTGCCATATAACACTAGTCTTATCTCAGCTTCACTGGCTTCCCATTGAATATCGCATTGAGTTTAAGATTTTACTTATGACTTTTAAAGCTATTCACGGCATGGCGCCAGATTATATTTGCAAATTGATCAGCCGAGGGAAATCAACAGGATATTCCCTCAGATTCAGCAAAAACGTTATGCTTGAGTTTCCAAGCGGCAAGATACTCCCAACACTTGGTGGTAGAGCATTCTGTTATGCGGCCCCAAAGCTCTGGAACAACCTACCTAGTGAAATATCCCGCCTTGACTCTCTGTCAAATTTTAAATGTCATGTGAAAACATATCTTTTTAAACAAGCTTTTAATTTGTAGTAGAGTATTTGTTTCGTTTATTTTATTATTTATTATCATTTTATTTCATTTTTAAATGTTTCTACCTGCTTTTAAATTTTATTCATCTTTAGTCTTTCTTTTTAATTTATTGTAAAGCGCATTTGATCATGTGATCAGTTGCGCTATATAAGTTTAAATTATTATTATTATTATTATTATTATTGTTCATTAAAAAGCGGCAAACTGCATTCATCCGTGACTGGAGAGACTCTGCTTCCTATAGGCTTTTGAGGAACAAAGCCCAGTGGGAAATAAGGTCGGCAAAATACGATTATTACCATCGTAAAGTAAGTGACCTTGAGCATAAGGATTCGAAAAAACGGTGGAAACAAATTAAGTTATTAACTGGCCAGGATATAGAGTAACCAATCAACAGGTCCTCAATTCCCTGAGCGAAAACTGTCCCCCACCCCCCCCCCCCCCCCTCCCAATCAACCCCCCCCTGCGACCTCCTAGTGACCGTCAGGGAGGTGCATGACTCTTTATCAAGCCTAAATGTCGGGAAAGCAATTGGCCCTAATATGATACCGAACAGGGTCTTAAAGGATTTCGCACCTGAACTCGTCCCGCTAATTATGGATACTTATAACTGCTCACTCAGGGAGGGCTATGTTCCTGATCTGCTGAAGTGATCCATAATCAATCCCCTTCCCCTTTTTTCCGCCTCAAGAAATTCAATCTGACTTGAGACCTATCTCTCTGACATGCACACTTGCCAAAGTCATAGAGGGGTTTGCGCCCAGCAGGTTCGTGGCGAAAATTGCGGAAAAACTTGATCCACACCAGTACGCAAGGGAGGGCACTCCACCACGGACGCCTTGATTTATATCCTACAGGCGATTCACGAGGCGACTGAATTGTGGGAATTGTGGGGCTAGAATGTTCTTGCCGATTACTCGAAGGGTTTTGACCTGATTGACCATTCAATTCTTCCGAAGGGAGTTGGCGTTTTTCGATATAGACCACTGTCTTAATTAACTAGATTAGGGCCATCCTGACTGGGAGATCGCAAGCTGTAAGGATTGGAAACTCTCTGACTGATTGGAAGTCACCCAGGGGAGGTATCCCGCAAGGGACGAAACTGGGTGTGATTTTGTTTGCTGTAATGACCAACAATCTTTTGCGTGACTAGCATTTGAGGATTAAATTCGTAGATGATACCACGGTATTAGAAATCCTGCCAAGGAACGGTATTAGCTTACTAAATATAGCTGTCAATGATATTCACAGGTTTTCCATCAAACATAATATGAAACTAAATCCGAAAAAGTGTAAGGAAAGGTAAATTAACTTCATGCAAAATGATAATTTTACTACAAGACCAATTTGTCCTAAGTAACAACACAGTTGAATGTGTAACAACTTATAAATTACTCGGTATTATTATCAGTAATGATTTAAAGTGGAACGAGCATATTAATTACATATCGAAAAAAGCTTCGAAACGCCTGTATTCCCTGAGGATTCTTAAAAAAGTGCGTGTTAATAAAGAGGGAATTCTCAAAGTTTACTTAACAACAATAAGACCTATACTAGAATATGGCGTACAAATCAGGCAAGATATTCCTGAATTTCTTTCAAATAAGCTGGAGTCAACTCAAAAAAGAGCACTACATATTATCTATCCATGCCATAGTTACTTAGATGCTCTTAATACCTCAAAGCCATCGATAGTCATCGCGGTGTTTTGCTTTTGCTATTGGTTCTTTCTGCAGCCTTTGATACGGTTGATCATGAAATTCTTCTAGGAAGACTCTCCTCTAGGTTCGGTATCAAAGGAAAAGCTCTGGATTGGCTACGACCTTACCTTACAGACCGTACTCAGCTTGTGAAAGTAAACGACGCTTCATCCACGGTACGACCCTTTCATCGGGGTGTGCCTCAAGGTTCGGTCCTAGGCCCCATGCTTTACTTATTGTATACATCTCCACTGGGTGATATTGTTCGTGAGCATGGCTTGTCGTTTCACTTTTATGCTGATGACTCGCAGCTTTATACATCTTTTGCTTGCAATGACACCTCTGATCTATGTGGCTGCAAAACAACGTCTTGAGAACTGCGTTGCTGACATCAATTTGTGGATGACTGCCAACAAGTTAAAGCTTAACAATGATAAATCAGAATTTCTCTTTCTGCACTCCCGTTTTCGTCATTCGTTGCCCCCTCCCACGATTTCTGTTGGCATGGAAAACATCAGGCCCTCTCAACAGGCTCGCAATCTTGGCGTGATTTTCTACGACACAATGTCACTTTCACCTCATGTTAATACAATAGTTAAGGGTGACTTCTATCACATACGAAATATTTCTAAAATAAAGAAATACATCAGTAAAAATACCACAGAAATTCTAATTCACAGTTTTGTTAGCTCGAAGTTGGACTTTTGTAATTCTCTTCTTTTTGGTGCCCAAAAACGAGACATAGTTAAGTTGCAGTCCGTTCAGCTCATCACCGAGACTCTAAGAGATCTTCACTGGCTTCCTGTTGAGGAGAGAATTGTTTTTAAAATAAATTTAATAACTTTTAATACATTGAATGGCTCCGATCCCCGTTATCTTGAAGATATTTTAAAATTTTACCATCAATCAAGGGATCATTTACGCCTAGAAGAACCAAATTTTAACATGAAAAATTATGGCCAGCGAGCGTTTTCCGTTGCTGCTCCCCGACTATGGAACAAGCTCCCCTTTGAAATTCGAGCTTGTTCCGATGTTAATCTTTTTAAATCTAAGTTGAAAACGTTTCTTTTTAAAAAGGTATATGACATTTGGTTTCATCATATTTGTTTGTTGTTGTTGTTGTTCTTTTTTTTTCTCCCCTTTTTAAGATTTGTATGCTATAGATTTCCCAATATGTACAGTAGGGTTATATGTAAACTTGAGCTTAATGATATTCTTATGTCCTTTTTTACATTGTAAAGCGCTTAGAATAGCGATGTATAAG